TTTTTTAACTCATTTCATGGTAATTCTGAAGACGACCTTTCATACAAAGATCTATATTTTCCTTATACTTCACGTGTTTTATATATTGAGTGTAAAATGCAAAGTTGCGAAAAAATAAAAATCGAAAGATGTACATGTAATAACAGATCTTTTCTAAATATGCATGTGTAAATATTACATTGATGTACACATATGAATAAAAGCATACGGTGTTATTTTGGAATAAGTTTTCATGGGTTATATATTTCTATATACATTTTTAGCTATATAGATATATTCGTAAGGGCCCTTTAATTATTTATTCTGTATATAGACCTATATGTATTATAATGATATTTACAAATAGTATAAATATACCATTGAACAATATTAATCAAAGAAATTAAGCAGTTATTAACGAAAATATTAGAATCGAACCGTAAAACTAAGAAACAGAAAACACAAACATGTAAATATATAGCCAATAGCGCAACCCATCCACAGATTCCAACACCTGAGTAAAAAAAAATACAGGTATGCAAAGATATAACAGTTAGGAAGCGATTTTTTGGTGGTAACTAGAAATCATGCAGGTAAAAAGGTGTGTTTGATTAGGATTTGTCATTCGTCAAGCGTCAATGTGATATGATAATGAATATGACATATGAAATATGATTTTAATACAAGTCATGTATAACATAGAAAATAATAACAGTATATATTATAAAACAAGAAATATTTCATGTGATGACACTAGCGTCGGTGCAACCATCGTCTACAAAGAAAAGGAATTAAGACGTTTGCAGTGTTTCACTGGGTGTAGGGAAAGGGGGGATATTTCCGGAGACAGATACATTTTACAGTATATATAGCAAAATATTTCACAGCATTTACATTATGTTGGCATCTTTAAACATTTCTATTAAAGTAAAGGATATAAATTGTGTCTGCTTGTATGCACGTGTAAACACCATTACTCTTAAATGGGTCTTTGTTAAGAAATTAAGGCTTAAAATTAATTGCATCATAGTAAACCAATAGAATTTGGCCTTTTTAGGTGCGACGATATTTATTTTGGGACACACACATCCTTTAAATCGGAAGAAAGATTCAACCCGACCAAAAGGCAGAAAACACCACAAGGCCACCAATGGGTCTTCACCTCAGATGGCCCCTAAACAATAATGAAATTATGTTGACAGCTCAGATTCTAATATTAGCGTGCTATGAAAATACATGCATAGGAAACACAATTAAAACAAAAGAAACATTTATTGTATAGGTTATAATTATATTCTGCACTCCGAGAATCATTTAAAAAACTTTTATAAATGCAAAATTTTATATCAACTTGAGCATATTACCTATGCTTTGATATACCAAAATATGAGAAATCTCTTCTCACAAAAATAAGAATAAGTGAAAAATGACTTGGTAATGAAACGGGGTGCTACAGTTTACCAAAAACTTTAGCAACTGAACGTTTCTGCAAATTTTGCGGATATAAAGCAGAATATGGTGTGTACTTCCTTTTATAATGTCCCCTATATAAAAACCTTCCAGAGAAATTATATGTTTAAGCTTTCAAAAATAAGTTAAAGATGATGTTATCAAATCAGTAACATATTTAATTAATCAAGATAAGTTGGCTAATGCCAACCAAATTTGTAAATATATGAGAAAAGCCTTAGAATATGAAAAAGGAGATGTTTTATGATTGCCAATGAGACAACTATCCACCAAAGTTCAAATAAATAGGATTTAAGCAATTACATGCAACTGTACGGCCTTTAACAATGAGAAAATCCCAATTTGAAGTTCAAAACAATGCTTAGTGTCAGTTAGTCTACCATAAGCAATGGAAGTACTATAAAAAAATAGTTCATTCTTATGTTGTACTGTTACACCACTGTCTCAGGTTAGGGGGAGGGTTGGGATCCCGCTAACATGTTTAACCCCGCCACATTCTGTATGTATGTGCCTGTCCCAAGTCAGGAGCCTGTAATTCAGTGGTTGTCGTTTGTTTATGTGTTACATATTTGTTTTTCGTTCATTTTTTGTACATAAATTAGGCCGTTAGTTTTCTCGTTTGAATTGTTTTACATTGTCATTTCGGGGCCTTTTATAAAGCTGACTGTGCGGAATGGGCTTTGCTTAATGTTGAAGGCCGTACGGTGACCTATAGTTGCGAATTTCTGTGTCATTTGGTCTCTTGTGGAGAGTTGTCTCATTGGCAATAATACAACATCTTCTTTTTTATATTGTAGTTATATATACAGCATTTAAATAAATTTCTCTTATTATGCATTATGTACTTTATATACCATGGTTCTTATGAGTGAACATATTTTAACAAACGAATCCGATGTCATATTTTTTATATGTGCTTTATCCAATAAAACATTTGATTTAAAATAACCAACCGAAAATATGTAATACAGACTTGAAATTTTAGAAAGTATAGTGGTGTTTTGCAAAAACTGAGCGTTTTCTTCCAACCTCTGCGAAGTGCTTGACGTTAGCTAATCTAGACAATGTTTTGGTATTTCTCTACGCACTAAGAGGGTTAAACTACTTTATCGGCAATTTGTACATTTTCCCTTTGGTCTTACTGGCTAATATTTTTAAAATCATTGACAGGACTTGATACTCGAAAATATTAGGCAATGACGTCATGTATCAGTGCAGCAACGTCACGTGCTCAAGTCAATCCGCGTCAATTTATCAATGAAATGCACGCGACTTCATTCATACAACGTAACAACTATCCAAGCGTTTTGTACGCATAAAAGTAATTTTACTTACTATTTTATTTTACTTTTTATTCTCAACCAAAAAAACATACAGTTAAGACAAATTGCCGATAAAAAGAATAATGGCATTTTATATTTTGATTCTGACTTCATCAGATCGAATATCAGCTTCCCCTAGCGGGCTCGCTTGATATTCTTGCTGATAAAGTCAGTATCAAAAACAATAATGCCATTATTCTATTTGTAGCCTTATTTTAAAAATAAACGACCAATGGAACATATCTGATGTATTCTAGGAACTAAACATAGAATTTTAATTCAGTTCTAAATTAATTCTAGTATGATTTTCAATTACATAATGATACAATCAAAATAAGAACTGCGACGCTGATATCTGGTGATACAATGAAGAACTAAATTTACTGTTTGTAGTGTAAATCGCGTATAACATATATTTTACATATTGTTGTTCTTTGTTTTTAGGTTTTTTTTTGTATAGGTCATCAAAATCTAAAACGTCTTTGCAATAACTGATTTAATTGTTATAGCCATCGTCCACAATGTAGGTTAGACATAGAAGTATTGGTTACATGAACCTCTTAATCTACTGATTGACAATAAAGACTTTGGTACTGACGTATCCGTTTGTCATTCTTGATATGCAACAACATAGTCCTGGCCTGTTCAATTATAAATTAAGATTCCAGACACATGTTGGAAAAAGCCCCTGCTCTCTTTACTATAACAAATTCGAGCAGCAACTCTTCGCAATTCCGTACATCACTGGTTGCATAGATGTCTTAATGTTCAGGAAGTCTCTTTTTCTTTAAATGAAAATTATCCTTCCATTCGTCCGTTCGTAGGTTCGCTTCCCTGTCTAGTCAAACCAAAGGGATTGCATTTGTATGTTTGCTTCTCTCCAAAACACGTGAAAGTTAGTATTAAGGACAAAGATTATATATGATCAGCTCAGAGCCAGCGAAATGTGATAGGGTAGGAATGCACATTTTGTTTCTTCTTATGGTGACCATGCGCGAGTTAGCGCATAAAAAATCGGACAAAATGTATCTATCTATCAAACAAATTGTATTTCAATCACATCTGGGAACACTATATCTATATATATGTTCCTTATCACACAACAGCGTTTTCATCATGTTATATGTTTTCAATTCAAAAAGCTTACATAAGTATATAGTTCTTGTCGGTCAGAATAGAAAAGAGTGTGTATAAAAAAAAAGATGTGGTATAATTGCCGATGAGACAACTCTCCACAAGAGACCAAATGGCATAGAAGTAAATGTCAACTATAGGTCACCGTAAGGCCTTCAACAATGAGCAAAACCCATACCGCATAGTCAGCTATAAAAGGCTCCAAAATGACAAATGTTAAATCAAAGTGTGTTACTTGCTTAAACGAATTTATTAAAATGGCCTGCACGAGGAGAATAATAATTTGAATGGTCTAAAAATAAATTTGCCATACTAGTATATCTAAAATACATTATAAACACAGTTTTATTTGAACTAACTAGACTACATGGTTACTAATAACAGACATCTATAAACGCATACTTAATCCTATAAATTATCTTTGTACTGAATCTAGGTAGTTTGGTCCACTTTCTTTTAATACATGAAAAGTTCAATTAAATTAAAAATCCCAACAAAATGACTTTCTTAACTTCACTTTTTACCTATGGTAATATTTAAGTAATGGTTATAATATAGTCTCATTTTCTAGTCACCAAGTATCAATACTCATATCTATTTTCACATTAGTAACAGATATCGATCTATGTTGAAAATTTTAATAGACTATTTTGAAATTTACAATATAGGAAAAACGTATTACAGTTAAACGTATGCAAATTACGATCTTTGATCATTTGGAAGTTCATTATATTTCTGTTTGTTGAGTAATATATCCCGCTGATAAATTTAAGTCATGTCGTTTGAAAAACATTTTTCAAAAGATTTATTTTTAAAAAGAGAAATATTCATTTTTTTGCACAATAGTATGGAATTATTTATGACAAAAGTTCGTGTCAGTGCTTTCAGACCGTAACTAATATTCATCGCGGATTAGCATTCGGAACAATGTTATCTCAGAATATGTTGATTTGATTGGACAGTTCAAAGCCGCATAATAGCTTTAGTTCTTTCGAAGGCGATAGAGTAAATAGTACACAAAAACACGGGAGATAACTTATAGCCGTTATAACAATAAATGAAGACCTATTTAGATTTTGTTACAGGTAAAAATTGTCATTTTCGTTTCACAGGTGAAATAACACCTGACTTGGCATTATCATACTGTATGTTTCGTTTCGTAATTTAAAAGGCGGAGTATTTTCGTTGGATATTTTTGTCTTAATTTGTTATGAATGCAGATTATGGAAACTACAAAATTATAATCCATTTCGTAAACAAAAAGGTTAGATATTGACGCATTGTTAGTGACTTATAATATTTTGGATATTTTCTGTGTTGTGGAATGAATGATATTTGTATCCGTAACGTAAGTTTTCACGATTTATTTTTTCTAACATCCACTGTAGTTTGCTTTAGTGTTTGACAGTTTAAAATACTTTTATTTTTTTTAATGCATTTCTATTTTTTCCCTCTAACATCAAATGCAGTTTACTTTTGATTTGATAGTTTTAAACCCTAGAAAAAAATCAGGTCTTTTCTTAATTGGTAGAATTTATCTCCATCGAAAACAGCCGTGTCGCATGATTAAGGGAACTTAAATATCATATACACTGATTTTTATAAAATTATAAAAAGTGAGACCATGGACCGTTGATTCTCAATTTCAACTATCTCTCTATCACTTTTTCTAACATCCAATGTAGTTTGCAGTTTAGTGTTTGGCAGTTTTAATACTTGAAAATTTATTTTTACACATTTTCTAGAATTTATCTCAATTGAAACAGCCGTGTCGCTTGAATTATGGAACTTAAATGCCACATACACTGGTTGTTATAAAACATGAAAATTAAAACCATGGAACGTTCATTCTCACTGGCAACTATCTTTCTATCTCTCTTAAAATACTAATGATGGAATTTTCTAACAGTTTTTCCCCATATACCTTTTGTGAAATATTAAATAAGGTTAACTTTTGAACGAAGATTTTTTTTAACATTTAGTGCAAATTAAAGCCGATGTGGGCTTATTTCCAATGAGATAGCAACCAAAAGATAAAAAAAAAACACTAAAAGTTACAATTTCTGTTGACAATGCACGAAGACATGTAAGCTTTAGAATTTTCCAAAATATGTGTGATCGGTTTTAGCAAATTTATGTAAAGCCATACATTTTCAGTACAAGAGGGATGGGTAGACTGAAATTTAGCCTCACAATGGCCCTAAGTTTAGCTTCTGGTAGAGTGCAATATAAGCAGAGCCTGGCGGTCAACTTATATATAAATTGATTGATTGATTGGTGATTGTTTTACGCCGCCTCAGACTAATATATATCAGACTTATATATACAGAAATCATCGGTATAAGCAGACCCTTATTGGCTAATACAAACATTTCTGTGTCATTTGGTCTCTTGTGGAGAGTTGTCTCATTGGCAATCATACCACATCTTCTTTTTTATTACTACTTAATTTTAGAATATTAATAAAAGTTAAAAACCAGAAGTACTTTGTCACTATGGTGAAATAGTACTTATTCTTCTAATTATGGAACACGAACAGACCTACATGTAGGAAGATTTGCAATAGAGAGGTATATAAAAATGCTTAAGTTTTAGTTGAAGAAAAGACATATTAAGTTAGTATTAAGAATCTATGATCGAAACCAATGTTAAACTTGCATACACATTTTTTTTTATTCATTCGTTCATATATCAGATTTTTACAGTTCAACTCTCTACAAAATTTTAATTTTACAAATGTGTATGAAGAGGGAAAACACATATATTTAATAAACTCTTCAACACTAGAATAAGCAAATGAACTAGGCTCTTCCTTTGTAAGGAGGTCAATTAGAACTGAAGACCTGCATGCTTACACTATTATGATTATAATTGTTTCCCTAGCTGTATTGTTTATTGACAATATAGTATTTGTGGTAAAATAGTAAATAAAAGTCAATTTTTTAATTGAATCAGAAACCTGTAAAATTGGAATTTTAAAAATAGCAAACTTATTTGAATTAAAATATTCAAGATCTTATTCAAATAATATTTCATGACATCGTCTTGATTGTGCATGGAATATTTTGCAATATTTGCCACTGGACGTTACACAAAAGAAATCCTTCTTATACGCCGAAGGCTGTAGTCTTCATAGTTACATTGTAAAATATAATTTCCCCTTAAATGATCAAAGAACAGAAGAACATAAATTACATGTAAATTACATACAAAAACAGATCATGTCATTTCATTGAAACATCATAGAAATAGTTATATGTTTTACATGCGCATGTCATTCTTGTGATGTTTTAATATCCTATAGCCCACGAGAAATTAAAATATTACAATAAGTTACTTTAGTTTCATTATAAGTTAAAAAAAAAATGACACATTTTAAATATTCAATTTAATTACTTTTTAATTATTTCTATTTCACATTATCAGTTTAAATGTTCGTTAATATAATTTTGCAGGTGACCTGTTATGTCTGTTATATAAGTTAGGTTCCTGACCTTACTCAAAGTTAAGCATATTATTTCTTCGTCATAAATATAGTTATTGTATCGCTGATATGAACTAAATATTTTATAATATATGAAAAAAATAAAAAGCTCATAACTCACAATCTCAAACTTTTTCACATAAATTTGCTGAATGTCATAGACAGATAAAAAAACGAAATGAAAATCTTTAAGCATAAAATTTGTTCCTTTAAAATTATCATAAATATATGACACTATATTCATTATCTGAACCCTTTAAATTGGTATGATAATACTTTATTCCAGAAGCAATACAGCTTATAGGATACATACACATGATGATAATAATTTAAAATAGTAAAAGTTTAGGAAAAGTTGCAAAATATTAATCAAGACCCCCCCCCCCCCCCCCCCTTTTTTTCCACAAACACATATACTACAGTGATGGACTGGAAATATTATTTGTACACAGAAATCGTACAATACTTTATTTGTTCATTGTCATTTAATAAAATAAATATTTAGTGCTACATAAATAAACAACCTTAAGTAGTACTTTCCCACACAAAACCGTGACATGTGACGTATAGAACTGTCAGCCACAGTGTCGTGATTTTGTCACCTTTTTAAAAACTTGTCCATTTCATTATGTTAATTACCTTTTTACTAATAAGTCCATTATGTCAATAATCTCTTTGTTGTTGTGGAGTATTAGTTAAATAATAGGACTAATTACCTACACAGGTGAAGACAGGTATGTTAATTACAGGCTGGTTAACAAAAGTACTATACGATGAATAATGGGGTAACTATTTTTATGGTAATGTTGTACATATTTGTGTATAACACCGAAGATAACATTTATTAATAACTGTCAGTTATTTCATCAAAGACTTCAGTGCAGTTTATAAACAGAGACGTACACTTAGACAAAAATAATTGGATTTAAATATTTAATTAACTGAAAATGGATTTATTATATTTATAGGTAGGACGTTAATTAAGTCTTAAATTATACTTATAAATAATTTTTTTTTTAAAAGTATATGAATTATCTTAACTTTTTCAAAATCCCTGCGATTCTGAGTTTTTAAAGTAGATAATAGACAGTCTGCTTAGTAGACATTTAGATTTTATAGCAGATAAAAACATTATAGTGTAAATAAACCTTGACAATTTGCCCTATTGGTGGAGGATTGGTGATAGAACTGTAAATAGTTTACTGTAAAGGACCGTTTTAATATACTTGTGGATAGTTGTCTTTTACTCCGATTGTGGAAGTGTGTCTAGATTGGCAGAAGATAGTAAATGCCGATACAGATGTATCTTAGTATTTTAAGTCGCTGTGTTGCTGTCTTGTTGACTTATACCCAACAGCTATTATATTCATATTGAGATAATGAGATTATATTCATATATTGGTGAATAAAAAAGATTGAATAATTCACCGACCTTTCTTAATAAAAACTGCACCAAATAAATTACTCAAACTGCTTTAGTTTCAAAGAATTTCTCAAATATCAATAAACAGAAATATTTTAACAGTAAAATCAATATGCATGCTATGTTTAAAAAATAAGCAATTATTTCCTTGATTAAAATTTTGAATCTTTTCTTGTTGCGTTCATAGATTTGCGACTTTGAAACGAACGAACAAAACTTTTTAATTTAGATTCGCAAATAATAATAGAAATTTAAAGTTTTCTACTATTTCACATTAAACATTCACTATTTTCCCATCTGCTATTAAATACACATAATCTTTTCGCCAAATATTGAATATTTTCATTTTAAATTTTAAGCACGATTTATATCTTTTTCTATTGTATTTAAACAAAAAATCAATCACATTTCGCCCACAGATAAAACGAAGCTAATTTTATTTTGACAAAAGTTTAATATTTATGTCCAAATAGACCTAGTCAATTTATCAAAGTTTTTATTTTAAATATTTTAGGACTATTAGAAAAAACAACATTGATTGTAGATTTATACTTGGCCGGAATTATTTTTTAAAGTTTGCTTTCAAAATTAATATAATCAGAAGTATTTGATTGAAACGTTGCCAGTTTTATATAATTCCGCTTTTGGCATTGTCTTTTTAAGAAGTAGAAAGACTTACGTTAAACACCCTCTCACTGAAGTAAAAAAGGGACAACTTAGGGCTGCATTGAGAAAAACATATTTTTTAGAAATGCACGGTACAGAGGAACAAATAACCAGATACGTCAAGTTGTTCATAATAAAATATTTGTTACTGGACAACAAACAAACCTCAATCAATAATTGAGTTGAATATTTGCCAATTGTTTGCATGGTTTCAGTCTTACTGCCACCGGTCTTTTTTGCCGGTTTTTATAAAATCACGTGTCCTGGATGCTTGGTACCGTTTCATACACGAAACACCAAGAATAAGTAATACTGTAAATATGCAATACATTCAAGATAAATAATGGCAAAAAATCTCGGTTCTTTCGATACATATTTTAATTTCATTTTAATACATGCCGATTATTTAATTCACAAACACGCAATATCCCTTCTTTATAATTTTTACATGGAAAAGCGAGTGATTGGTTGTTGTGGATAAAGGGGGGTCGTCTTGCGTTTCGAACAATTCACCCCAAACACAAGTAGAATATAAAATGTAGTACAATACAAAAACAAAATGGAGACGACTTTCTGTGTATTTTCGTAATATACTGTATTTTTAGACACTGGGGTATCCTTAGTTATATTATTGTAAGATATCCTAGCTGTCGCCCTATATAAAAATTGGTTAATACAGTATTAGCTATGCATGGAGGGTCAAAAATCTTCTATGAACGTTTTGATAACACGATCGGCTTACAAAAACTAGTTCATGTAAGCCGATTTTCGCTAATCCTCCTGTGACATAGAACATACGACAAAGAATTGAAGCCACTGTTCTGAAAGATTATATCGTATTTACAAGAAGTTCTTATCAGATCATAAATACTTTTTATAAATAATCATTAGTTGTAGTTTTATGTATAATGCCTTTTACTTTTTCCATGGATTAAACCATTTAATAAGTAGTTTTTGAATAGAGTAAGAATACCCGACTAAATCTTTTAAGTCTACTACAAACAACAAATTTTAACAGATATTTTCGTTGTTTTCAGTCTTTCGGGTAAATATTTGAACAATTTACAATTTGCTTTGAATGATAATAAAACAATTGCTAATGTGTTTTAGCTACATAATTTTCAAAGGTCTGCTTCTTGGCGGACATTTTTTTCATTTACTTGAACAAGAGCTACACATCTAACTCCATTAAATGCTAACCGCGCAAGTAGCCGGTTATCAATGAATTGCTACATCGAAATGTGACAATAGCCAGAGGCCAAAATGTCCTTCTTCCACACTCTACTTTATCTGGCAACAGACAGGAGTGCTGTTTGTCTGGTACCAGATAAACATTGTGTTTTTCTTGTACTAGTTAGAAGTGCTGTTTGTCTGGTACCAGATAAACATTGTGTTTTTCTTGTACTAGTTAGAAGTGCTGTTTGTCTGGTACCAGGTACACATGGTGTTATTCTTGTACTAAATAGTAGTGGTGTTTATCTGGTTGCAGATATGAGCGGTTATGTCTGCGATTACAGACCGAAGTGATGTTTCTCTGGTACCAAATATGAGAGGTGTTTATATTTTAAAAGATATATGTTCATAATAGATCTTGGATAGTCTCTGTTAAATTTAATTCAATTTTTTCTTTACACTAGGTGTAAAGAGCATGAAATATTATATAGGTACTTGACTCTGAAGACAGTATATTGACCCTAGGATGTCTTTTTGTTTTTTTGTGTGTCTGCATTTCTGTCCAATTGTTGTTGACATCAAATCTCGTTTTATTCACATACATAAAACTGACAATTACAATTTCATACTGAAGTCTTTATTATGACTGATTTGGATCATTTTCACCATGTATTAAGTAAATTTGCAAGTATCTTGACGGATCCACATTGACCTGTCCGTACCCTAATATGTAAAAACATCTGTAAACTAAGATGTCTTTGGTTCTTTTTTGTGTAGCTTCATTTCTGTGTAATAGATGTTTACACCAAATATCCTTTATTCACATAATTATATAAATCTGACAATGACAATTTCATACTGAAGTCTTAATTGTGACTGATTTGGATCATTTTCACCATGTATTAAGTAAACTTGCAAGTATCTTGACGGATCCATATTGACCTCTTCATACCCTTATATGTAAAGACTACTGTAAACAGACAACATGTGTATAAATTTCATTAAAATCCGAGACTTTCTGTTGTCGACGTAACTGAATACGCTACTATTCATCATAAGTGTCAACTCAAGTCTTATTTAAACTTTTCCTATTGAAACCATTGCCTGATATCAATCTTTTAGATACATCCCCGAACAATAGATCTATACATTAGTTACAACCTTGGATCGCCTGACAAGGTACATAGATCTGCATACATACTATTTAAATCTGATATCAAGACAAATTTCAGTATTTTTATGACGGAGAGAACTTTTAGGTAGGCCATCGTCCGTAAATATCAAACGAGGACTTGTTGAGTAAAGACATTCACTATAGACTGTTCCTTTCTTTGATGTTATCTAATTAAGAACATCTGCTAGAACCTTACTACACCCTTAAAAACGTTCGTATTGCAAAGTCGATTTTATCTCATCACGTGAACAATTTTATATAATTCTATTGCAAGATCTCTTATGAGGAGACTTTTTTAGCACTGTGAAACATTACTTGCGGCTTTGCTCACATACTTCTAAAATTATCAACAAAATATTCAAGTAGCCGCATATTTTTTTTTAGAGTTAAATATTCTCCACATACGACGACTCCAAATTACAAACAACTTCCCGAGTTTTTAAATGTTCCCTGCGACTTTTCAATCATTTCCGGGTTTTAAAATGTTTAGGCATAATGTTTATGAGTTTTGAATAGCCACTTTGTATCTTCTTTCTCTTTATTCCTTATGATAATTCAACAATTTTCAAATCTTGATATGTTCCTTGTGGTCTTTGTATCATGAGTCTTGAAATGCTCCCCGTGTCTTTTTGGATCAATTCCGAGTTTTGAGAGGTTCCCTAAGCATGTTTAATTATGGACTCTTTCCAAATGTACCATGTTATTCTAGGTTATGTTAGTTTGTTCTGTCAAATCAAGTATAGTTGCTGACGTTTCGATGGTGAAAACATCTCTTAATTTTCTAGTTTAACCACAGAGTATTTAAACAACCTGCAAAATAGATTAATTCTGACAAACTATCTCTTTTCTGTTTGTTATTCTCGGTGCACCTTGGTAGTAGGAGGATTGTATATTTTGAATATTTTAGAAACCTCAAGTTAGTTTTATTTCTATACTGAAAGAACTGAGTAACGCAACACTTTTATTTTTTTTATTTAGTTGAGGACCTTTGAAAATTGGAGAACACAACTTTTGCGTCGTGACTTTGTTTTTCAAATCAATGTTTTTTTTTCAAAATTTTTAGATTTTGCCGATGGGGAGAATTTGAATTCAGTAAAAACCGAATACTTCGAATTAATCTGAAACAAAACGGAGAGTGCTATTACATAGTTGTAGTATAAATGATAGTAGACTCAGAAAGGCATATAGCTAACATCGCTTGGAATATATTCTTATGATAAAAGAGGGACGAAAGATACCAGAGGGACAGTCAAAAGAGGCAATACAGTTTTATGTGTATTGTTTTGTCTGTAGACTGCGTCTCGTTTTTTGTCTTTTTTAGTTTGTTTTCTGTCTTCTTTGACTTACTGTTTTCACCTTCTTCTTTCGTGTTTTCTCTACTCTTTTACAATGTGATAATATTTCTAAAAATTTGATCCTTAAAAATCATTAAACGTGTACATGAAAAAGTAATTGAAATGGACTCTTGTGGCAAATACCGCAAAGTCAGTACATAATGAAAGCATGCAGTACACAGTGAGAGTGCAGGTATAAATGCGAATATCTACTATTTGATCTAACCAGTGTTGTACAGTGAATATCAATATCCTGAAGAAGCTGCTCTGATTTTTTGAAGAGGAATGATAATCCGAACGTCTTTAATTGGTTCGGCATCCAACAGTAACAGATGACATTTCTGCTTCCTCCTGACAGAGTGTTAAAGTATTGATTTATTTCGACGAACGTTCTTAAGCTTTCTTTTTTAATATCCATTCTGTGTCGTGAAGAAGAAGCCATGTTCTGATGTCATTTATTGGCTTGTGATATTTGTAATTAACTCGTCTCTTTTTCCTTTGCAGCGTGAAATTGAGGTGCTATAGTTCTAATATTTACATATATTCAATGTAAAGAAAGGAATAAAGCTGTTTTTCCTGTGGTAAGTTTGATATTTTTTGGAAATTTTATCAACAAAAACATGAACTGGGTTGGATTGGGCAGAAGCAAGCCTTTATGAGCACAACTATAAGTACACAATATAGCACATATTAAAAATCACACGCATATGCAAACCAGTGAAATATCCAAAATGTTCCAAAACGGATCAGGAGGGTTCCACAGGAGAAAAAAGGGATACAGTAGTAAAAAAACATTACAAGTTGTTGGACATTATCCTCCACCGAATTGACCCTACAAACAGAAAACTGATCGCTAACGGCCTTGAATCATGAAGGATTTTTTTTGTATTACGAAATTTCGGAGGAGCAAGAAAAAATGACAGCAGCATGACACGTATATATAAACAGTGATAAATTGCACTATTTTCGTAAAATTAAAGAAAAAAAAATCAACTACATCGATTTAATAGATGGAGATTAAGTATCAGATTAGAGTGAATTTACATTAATCATTTTTTTAGTTATCAGAAATACTATCATGTTGCAAAACACAATTTTCTTTTACATGTAATTTATCATAAGAAATGCATGACGGTGGGAGGTCTGTCATTGTGGGTTCCAAAACTCGGAATCCTATTAAGAAACAAATCTCTGATAATCTGATGATTAAAAATATTCATGTTAATAATAAGTAACAGTTCCACCATGTTTTAAATGGCGGTAAATGGAAGACATTACGAGAAGAAATAGATCCGTCTTCCATGTGACAGTACCCTGTCAAATGTGATTGTGTTGTACAACTTATATTACTACAATTTCCTTTTTACCTTCGTAAGCCACCATTAATTTAATGTGTTCGTAAACCATGCGTGAATTTTATGTAGAAAAAGTAATTTAAAGTTGGATTTTTGTGTTGTATATATAAGGTTACGTATTAAAGTAAGGACTTTTTATTACTTTACTTTCAATAGGAATTTGAAAGTTATTTTTCCCCGTTTCATCTTTTGACATTACAAGTAAAATAGAATATAAATACAATATAAAGTAAAACAGCAGATGTAACCACCATGGATTGTTTTAAAGGTTTGCTGTACTTTTTTCATCACTTGCAAATTCCATAACAATAAAACCATTTGAATCGTCTAGATATCTCTTTATGAAATTGTGTTGCATCATATAATTTTTATGAGTCTTTTTTAGTTGAAGATGTAAAGGATGCGTTAGCGTTTTGATTCTTTTTCTAAGCGAATTACAAAAAACCGAAAATTTAATTTACTGTTGCATATCATTTACTTTCCTCGCCAATTTTTCAGAGGGGATAAGCAAGGCAAATGGCATTCATAAGCTCTTACTTAACCCTTTGACAACAACAATGTTTTATTTAAATGTAGCTAGCAACTGTGGAATTGAAGTAGATGTTACACGAGATTATACCCCAACCCCAATATATGGGTCACTCTAATTACTCCTTAATATCATGTTTAGATTCGACGACGAGGGGGGGAGGAGGGTTAACGACCTTGACTACCAATGAGGTTCTTGCACAGATGCAACCATGCATGGAAGTAATATATTGTATGTTACTACCATGATGCATTTATGCATATACTATGGGTAAAGTATACCCTTCTATCCCCCTTTAAAGATGGCAGCCTGGTCATCAACCGAGTCATCAACATAGCATTAATTAATGAATCCTAGGAGACTGTATACTTACGCGCCTGATTTCTTTTGACATAACAAAATGGTGTCAACTTACTGAAATTGACTTATTATGATGCGATACATAAAACATTGTTTTGATGTAAATCTCGCGGGATGAATATGTTACGAGAGTTCTTATCCAGCTTAGCAGAATGGTTTCTGTCAATAAAACGTCATTAACAAATCAGATGTGACTTCTGAATATTTATATTACTCCAATGGGAGATTTTCCTGGACGTATCCAATGATTGATAACTAATATGAAATAGCATAATTTTCTCCATCTCGTTGTGTGTATTTATGAGGTATAGAGCCCTTTCCTATTACATTTCGGATGCAATAATTGAATCAAATTGACCCGAAATTTTTTGTTGTTAATTAGACTGAGGTCCCATAATGCAGGGTACATGATGGAAGCAATTTGAATGTTATTTCAGATCTATACGTGTTCCAAAAGATTTTCCAGAATTTCTATCTCTGATTGTATATACCCGGTTGCCTAGGATGGAAAAGAACATAAATAAATAAACCCTTTTCATTGGTTCACGTTCTTTTAGAATTTGTTTCGTAATTACAGCGTCCTCAAAGATAATAACAGAACCAATAAGAACTCAAAATCAATGTTCCCACAATGCATCACCATTTTTGAAAATTTCCAATTACGTTAAGGCATTAAGTGTGGAAACATTGACTAGGTTTGAAGTATTTAAAGTATGAGAAGTATTTCTTCACAATTCATATCCATTCCAAACCCATATATAACAGTTCCTATTGAATTTAATCAGATTATTCAGTAATGGATGAATCTTGCTTTCTAAATATAAAGAAATCATTTGGGATTAAAATTAACAATTTTGGGATTAGTGATCTAAATAAAACATAGTTACTTCATCTAACGGTTGAAAAGGTCTCTAACAATGAAGAGTTATTGACGTATTAAACATCGAGCTTGGTTTCAATAGCTTTTACATACAGAACAGTAATGAACTACACCGTGATTCACAGCCGGAGATTTTCCATTTCTATTCCGTAATAGATTTCACTTTTGTACCCGGCAAATTCATTGAACCTGAATTATCTGAAAAGTGTTTTTTTCTAATGTACTTGATTTGTAAAGAACATGCTGAGTGCTCGGGTCATATCGACTTAAGACAGAAAAATGGTATATGTATTAGAATTTCCTGTTGGAACACTTGGTTTTAGTTTTGTTTTAGACGGACTTGTTAAACGGACATTACCCGCATGGAAGATTGACTGATAGACCGATTAAACATTAACCTAACTTTTTATCTAAATAACTAGCAAACTGATATACTCTATATTTGAGACTATTATACTAACGGGATTAGAATCTCGTAGGTGTTTCTTTGCGATATTACCTAATTACCGGTCTCCACGAGATATAACGAGACTTGCGCTGATTTGGAGAGGATGGTGTCAACGTCTATACTTTAAAAGCTCTATACCACAAAACCTAACATTACTGATAGAATTTTAGGAAATAGCGTTGACTAATATTATAAAATTTAATTATAAAAAGGTGAATCGTGAATGAAAGTAATGAACATATTTTCAGTGTGTCATAAAACTTCATCATCATAAAAAACTATGAATAATAACATTAAATTAGTTTCTTTGTCAAAGCGAAGAGGACTATTGTAACATGTGGTTATAAAATAAGAAGTCAGAAGATTGACAAAGTACGACCATTTGTTTGTGTAGTATAGGGATCTTATTGAGGTTTTTTGTCATTAAATTGAAAACTATAGTCAATCACCTCTGTAGATATTAAACGTCCAACCAATGTGGTGCCTTTTTGTCTTTTGGTGGGAATAGTTATAAACTTTGTAATATAGACATTTATTTCTATTGCCATTGGGCGTTAAGGCAATAAGAATCAAATTATAAAACAAAATAAATATATGAAAAACGTCACTGCCTAATGAACCAGATTTTAATATAAATGAAAAAAATATAATGTAAGGCTAGAGTATAACAAATCATTTTTTTTTAAGTACTATATTGACAATATAACTCTTCCATGGTTATATGAATGTAAAGTATATAATAAATGATTAACGAAATTGTAAATTATTTTCAGACTCCAATTAGTGAGGGAATCATGAATTTTCAATTTCCTCGTGCTTGTTTTGTAAAATTGACACCGTACAAGCAACATGCTTTTAATGCATTTATTTTTCGCAGTTTGCAATCATCCATTGAGACGTAGTATTCAGCTTTTTAATTTATTTTAAGTGAATGGCAGATACAAATTCCTTTTCCAGAGCATGATTACTTTTTCAAACCTGCTTTATACCCTTTAACCCTGAAAATTAATTGGCACAGTGCGAATTATTCAGCACTGATTCAAATTCGTAGCTTTTTTCACATTTTTTTGTGTTTGCACTCAAGGCAAAGTTTGCTGGTTGATTTTCTTAATTAAGCCAATTTAATGTGACATTTTGACAGGCTGCCTTCTTTGTTACCAACCTCGAGACGTCAAAACGTGACTTGTAATAAAACCGTATAAAATGCTAATTCCAAAGACAGATTCCTTAGCTAATTCTAGAAGGATTTCCTTAACACAACCAGCCATCTGCTTCTGTGTAGACATTTCCATGGAGAACTGTCATTTCAAAGACGCGAAATTATGCAACTGAAGATCTTCATTTAGCATGATCGGAAGATAGAATATCTTTGCATCCTTCCTCAGTACGACATCACATAGAATATAATTATCGATAATTGTTTTACGGTGTTACCGTTAATTTCAAATTAAAACGTTTCAATGAAGTGGAAAGAAATCTCTTACACGAATCAAATCATCATCTTTATGGCGCACGTATTACCGGTATTATGCAACGTGCTCAGAACTGACGATAAGAAACATATATAATTTAACTTCTGTAAAATTGAGCCATGAAATTATGATAGAACAACGACGATATCAAAGCAAGTTAGTCTAGTATCTTTGGTGAGATTTTATCAATCTTTAATTGTCTGGTCAACATTCGAACCATTCCTGATGAAGGTAAATCCAGATACATGTATTGAAAGCTGAGATTGAAAGCTACTTAATCAATATATCTGACTTTGATTCACACGTGAGTCCTGGCTCATTGAACGACGATCAATATAAATGAAAGTGTCTTCAGTTATTCATTTTTTATTCTGACAATAAGTTTTCATTTCGATAATTATCAGTTGTCAAACTTTAGAAAATTTCTGACATGCATTCAACGGATAAAAACTCAATAATATATATATAACTTGTAAATTCAAAATTTAAGTTGATTGCACAATTTTTATTTTGCATTGTAATCTTTACGGCTGTCATATATTAAGGCGAGTCTATAATAGCCGTCACATACGTTTCATTGAAGATGTGTTTTAAATAAACAGTTCTGATTTCAAAGAATCAAAAGATTTGCAATATTTAATATGGTATGAGTGTTCAAATTTGAGGAATATAACTAGTGATGTTTTCAATAAGCACAAATATTTCAATTATAAAATTTATTTACTAACTGTAATTGATTTTATGTAAATTTGAACTACTAATGACCTATTTATCTATTTTAACACATGAAAGGTAATCCTTCTTTTGTGTCATAGGCTATATCTCTTTTGAGTTCGGAAAGCCTTGGGACTTATCATCGAAAAATAATCTGAAAAGTGGTAATTGAATTTTCGCACCTAAATTGTGAATGTCTATCTAACAAAGTTTACGAACATTTGCTAAAAAGTTATTACTGGCGAAATGGCGTTGAATGGTAATTGTTTCCACGGAAATTGTATCAATATCTCTGTCAGGCGGTGATTTATGACAGACATAGTGAATAATGGCGTAGAGGTAATCGAAGAGAATTAGAAATTTTAAGTTAGCCTATGGTCAAATACGTTCATAAAAATTAATACCAAGAGTTAATAGCTTTCAGAGGAAGTTTTTTCGATACAGATAGTTTTATGGGAGATAATTAAAGTATAACAAAGGAAAACAATTATTTTGGACACAAAAGTGGTCAACTGGGATAAAGGAAGAGAGTGAGAATGAAAAGAATGTTTCCGGATACACATACATATCTAAGAGCACTTATTGTTCTCAGCAGACATAACTAAAGATTGATTTGTGGTTATTTAAAGGTTTTGAAAATGAGATGGGACAGGTAATTGTCTCTGAAAACAATTTTCCTTACTTATGCTCAGTGTAACTCATGATATGTATTTATGTATTTAATTACCCCATTTTTCCGATTTTAAAACCCTATTGGGATTTTGAAGATTTGGGGTTTTTCACTTTTTTTTCAAAAGTTGTTTATCAAATTATGTCTCCCATAACATCTATCAGTTAGTCCTGGATTCGACCCGGTTTTGTCTGTATAGAATAAGAATTGTTGTTCGCCAAATTAGAGCTCAAAGAGAACATACAAATTAAATATAAACAAAAAGTTGACAATTAAACCCTGACAAGGAATACATTATTCAAAATCTTAAAATTCAGTTGAGATATACTTCGCCCATTTCTTATCAGTTCGGACAATAATTACCTCAATATCGAGCTGTCCATCATTTATCACTGATTAACTTGTCATTTTACAAAAAGACATTAATATATACATAATCTACATTGTATTATTTACTGCCGACCCCCCTAAGGTGTCATGTACAACATCTTGATATTCAAAGGTTAAGACAGGTCTTATCGCCCTCTCGATAACCAATAAAATATAATAACTTGCACCCCGCGGAGCGATAGCGAGGTAGGGGTTAATATAAAGATGATAGCACTTTGAAATTACCAATAAACTATCTCTCCACGAGCACCTGCTCGATTGATGGTGAAGAAGAAGCATATTTTGCATAGATTTGGTTTTCTAGTCATTTTTAAAATGAATAAACAGATCGTTTCAATTATTAATGCGAAAAAGACAAAGTGTGAACTGTTGGCAATATTCACATACATGTAACAACTTTGAATCAGTTAAGCTAAAATGAATAGGTTATTTTTTTATTCTAAAAAAATGGACGGCAAAATCATAACCACTGCAATACATATTTAGTGAACCGCTCGCATTTTAATAGCCTTTGCTAAGATATAAAATGGTATTTTCATTTTTCCCAATGTAATAAAAAATGGAAAGATAACATCTGTCAAGTAAAAAAATAATGAAATTTGATGTCTATTTTTTATGATTAAGTTTCGTTTGATCGTACCTTTACCGTTTAAAGTATCCATGTATTTACTTGAAAGCACGTTTTCATAGTTCAGTTGTTGTCAATAAACGGAAGGACAGTCGCTTGGGGCAAGGTAAAAAGTTATAGATGCTTGTGAATTCGACATATATCATTTTATAGCTGAGGACCCAAAAGCTACAAATTCTATGCACGTAACATGTTTTTAACTTATTTCTATTTATTAAATGTACCTTTTGTTATTCTCCTAAGCGAAAGAAAAAAGTGGGATGCTTGATTTTTAAAAGCTTGTTTAACCCCAACAACATGTCCATGTGCCTAATTCTAGTCGGCAATCTTTTTAGTGGTTCCATAAGTATTATTGTTGTAGTCTTTTGAACATTTTGGAACTGGTTGCAGACCTTTTGTTGTGTGAGGGTGTGGATGGGAGTTTAATAATAGAGAATAATGGCCTAAAATATTAAAAGTATACAGAAATGAAGGACCTCCCATCTAGATCCTCTTGTCTGTCTCAGGACGTACAGTGATTTTGTGATTGGTATAGATATTGTGTATAATTGAAAACATGAATGGTGTCTAACTAGGTTGAAATTAGGGGATACCCTATTTGGCTCAGTCGGTTAGAGCACTGCCTTTAGACCATAAGGTTGTTGGTTACAATCCCTATATAGTGCCATCCATGAGATGTTCACCACATATAGCTTGTCTTTTGTATGAGAAGTTGAAAATGATCGTAAATTTTCAGAGACACCAGACGGGTCTCTTGCGATTCCAAACAGTATGTATAAATATATGATTGAACAGAATGATTGATTGAAGTCATTTGATGTATCTTTGTGTTCGGTGGCTGAGGCCATAAAAAGGAATATGTTTGTTTGCCCTAATCCTACCTACCAAGAAAGCTGCCTACTCAAAATATTTGATAAAGTTTTTTTTTAATCAGATAGGCATGAAGACTAAAAACATCTGACACTTCAATTTACCTTTGCCGTATAAAAAAGAAAATGCCTACCTACCTACCTACCCACTGTGTCTACCTCTGGGTAGGGTTTGGGCAAACCAAAATATTTTTAATTAAGTGTGTGGCCTGACCATTCAAGTTATTTCCAATGTCAAGGAACATTATAATATCCGGAGGAAAAACATTATGGCACTACGAACCCAGTTACTAGGCAATGTTGACCTAAGCCAAGATTGGCTATTTGTTCAGCCCTCTTAAGTTTTGATACAATGTTTCATATATTTTGCTGTCTAAAATTTTAATTCCTACATCCATGATGAAAGTTGTACTTGAAAGACATTCTCTAATAGTCTCATACAACTTCCATGCTTAGTCTAATCAAATCCATGTATATTCTGGTTTTTTTCCCCAGCATACTCAATATATTATGAGAAATGGTGTCAATATATTGACGAATATGATCAAGAACGTCTTTTATTTTCTCAGCATGCTCAATATATTTTATCAGAAATGGTGTCAATATATTGACGAATATTAGCCACGAACGTCTGTCTTTTGGGAAATTGACTGAACCTTTAATTGTCAAATCACAGAGGAATTTCCTTGTCAAAGTCCACAAATAATTCCCTATTCCCAATACACCAATAACTCCTTATCATTAATTGATCTTAGTCTGACAGTCTAAACGCATTGGAAGACACTGTCAATTTGATATGCAAATGAGCTGTCATGTCATATTGAAAATTACTAGTCTATTCTTTATGTAGCTAACACAAATTATGCAAATTTATTCATACTGTCGGTGTTAGGGCTGTAGGGTAGAATAAATCGAAAATTGTAATTTACATGTTAAACAAATATTAGGCTTAACATCGGGCGTTACAAATGTTACACTATTATACACCAAGTAGGAATTTAAAATGTTGGAATGTATGGCTGCAGGAGAAGAAAAAGAGCAAACAAAGTGATGATCTATTTATAGTACAAATTTTAAAAATAATGTTTGTCTCGATTTATTTTGTCTGAGGTCAAATGAAACTGTCATCGTAGGTTTATTGTTGAAGATAAATCGTGTAGGAGTATGGTATAAAAAGAAGGGGAGGGGGAAACGAAAAATATATAATACAGTGGAGATCATTTCTAACCTCTCATCAAATCTGTCAGAATCTGTCAGGAGAACTGTTATAGGACAGTATGTAGAACTGTCATCCTGACACCTTTTAGACAGTTCTAGCTAGAACAGTTCTAACCTAGAACTGATTTCTCTAACTGCAGTGACGTCATTTAGAACTGTTCTACAATCCTGACAGTTCTACGGTTAGAACTGATTTAGTCAGTTCTGCTGCATGACAGTTCTACGGTTAGAACTGATTTGGTCAGTTCTGCTGACAGTTCTACGACTAGAACTGATTTGGACAGTTCTACCTAGAACAGTTTTAGACAGTTCTACCCTAGAACTGATCCTGACAGTTCTACCTAGAACTGATTTGGTCAGTTCTACCTAGAACTTATTCTGACAGTTCTACTTAGAACAGTTCTAGGGTAGAACTGTTCTAGGTAGAACTGTTCTAGGACAGTTTAGAACAGTTCTATGACAGATTATTCTGACAGTTCTAATGAGAGGTTAGAAGTGATCTCCACTGTAGTTCGATCTGTATTTTTTGGATATAAATAATGTTTTCAATTTGTTTCTTTGTAGGTATATATGGCAGACAGAGGAAGAATACTGTCAACATTATTTAGTAAGTCTAGTTTGTAAATTATAAATACAGATTGTGTGAGACGTATAAGAATTGAAATATGTTTTTTTGCAAATTTGCTGGGAACAATGAACTCGGTCACTAAGATGCTTTATAATGGTTATATTTCAGAATCTATATTCTAAAACATATAGACGTGCTTGCAATGTCTGAATGCATGAGCTATAAGTTGACTACTTTTTAAAACGCTTAACATGAGGTTGTGGATGGGGTTTGCAGAATGTAGAGAATAATGGGCTATAAAAGTAAAGTATACAGAAAAATCTGCCCCAAAATTGAATAGATAGGAGCGGAGTACTAAAATATACAGAAAAGAGAAGAATAGGCAAAAATATAAAAATATAGAAAATTGCCGTGAAAATTTAATAAAGATATAGAAATGGAGACCCTGACATCAGTGGCGGATCCAAGGAAAGAGGGGGGTGGTTCCGGGGGTTGGGACTCCCTTTTTTAAAAAATAGTTGGATCCGCCCCTGCACATCCATATCCTCTAACATGCAAATAGCAACATTTTAATATTAGAAATATCAATAATGTCAAGCTAACAAAAATAAACGCAAAATTGTATCATCAGACTATTTTAAATCAGCATGTCATTTGGTTAATTGTGTCGTTGGATTGCTGTCTTGTTGACGAGTACACTGTTTCTTTCTTTACTCATAGATATATACATCTATGGTCTAAACAGGGACTTTCTATACTAAAAATATAGTATATTAGTATAGAAAGTCTCTGGTCTAAACAGTTAAAAAAAACTTCCAACTCAAATAAAGAAACTACTACGACGACTCCTAGTCACAAACTAAGGTAGATAATCGTAAAAACCTGTCTATACGATGGTGAACGTTTATTACCAAAGTTAAGTCATTACTTTTTGTTTGTACCCCTCAGAGTCGAACAATTCAACATTAAATTATTTGAAAGGGAAGTCAAAAATAAATAAAACAATTATAAAACTGACGTGAACCTTCAGCGGAAACAATTTTATTCTAGTTTAATGAAAACAATATATCATTTTTATTAATATTTGACAAGCAGTTTATAACCCCAAGGTGTTCATCTACATAATTTTGTAATAAATCTACAAATTTAGTCATTGATCCATCTAAAAACCAAAGATATTTCTTCTTTAAGTTTTTGTGGTTTGTAAAGCCTTCAAACATGCGACATGTGGAATAAACTATATAGAAGAAAGACATCTGTAGTTTGATGGCTTAATGGTTTCATATGTAATTTTAATAATTCGGCTTATCTTGTACTTTCGCTTCGCTACTCCCTTCCAGTCTCCACATGCAACATCAACGTAATAAGTCTATTATGTTTATTTTTAGTTGCGGAGGTTGTTTTTTTTTTAAAGGAGGGTGGTGTTTTTACGTATGTGACAGTGAAATACATATTCGAATAAACAAGAAAAAAGGGGAATATCTCCTTTTTGTTATAACATTTTAATAATCTTCCTTATTTTCTATTGAAACGAAAACAAAAAGGAGACCTCCCTGTCCTTTATAAAATGATATAAATTTAAAAAAAAAGTATACAAATCATATTTTGGCTTTCAAATTCTGTACTAAATGTTTATGGGGGAAACAATGATAAAAATAACGTGTTGGTCCTCTATAAGTTTTCTAAAATAAAACGAACTGAAAATTAAACTGGTTTTTTTTTACCAAACTTGATGTGTAACTGTAACAGAGTGAAAAGAGCCGTAAGACAACATAACTTCTTGTATAAATAGAGTGATAATTAGTCCCATATTTACCGTTATTTGATTAACAGGCCTGCTTCATAAACATTATCACCATTAACACATCTGGTATTCCTCTTGAAAGAACAAAGAAAAAATATGGCATTCTTTAAAAAAATGGATCGATAAAAAAAAAACAAGCGTTGATGATGACACTTACATTTCGGTATGGTTATCGCACAAACAAATAAACAAAATGAAATAAAAGATGAAATGGAGCAGATATTAGATGCTTCAATGTACTGAGTCATTAGATGTATAAACAACTGCGTTAGTAACCTTGACTAGAATCATCAAAAGAGATAATTATTAATGATTAAATTCATGGAAAATTCGTGTTTGCAAAAAAAGAGATGCTTTTCACCATTTATTTTAATAGAAAAACTATAAATAGTGTTTAAATGTTTAGAATCGATACGTCCATAATTTACACCATGCCTCATGGCACAGATGGACAATGTATAGAAATTGGATACATCTCCAACCACAACGTTAAAGTGTAAACACAGCGAGGGACCTTGTCCATCATATTCAGACCATTGTCAGTTTGTGTATAGACTTGATGGTGACTAGTTATTCATAAAACTGACCGAGTCAAACGTTTAAAATGTTAGGTGCGATGGATTTTTAACGCATTAATTTAAAAAGCTGTTACTAAGGAATTAATAATTAAAAAAAACTATCAAATTTTGGAATGAAACAGCATAGTATTTTAGGACATATATAGTTCAATCAATTTAGAAAACTGACCGTGTGCGATGGATTTTTGAAAGCCGTTACTTAGGAACAGATAAAATAAAAAAACATCAAATTTTACATAGTATTTTTGGACATATACCTTTTATTCAATTTAGACATAGTGAATTATATATGTAAAGAGAATATGAATGTTCTTATATCTTACGAAATTCTACCAGTAATTTGGAGTTTTAAACATAACATAAGAGGTAAGATCGTGTTTTTACTACGATGACTGCTAACATGTGCATTATAGAGTTTTTCTATCACTTTTTCACATATTTCACATAACATTATTTCACCGTCACATAAATATTTTTTATTGCATCATCGAAATATTTAAAAATAAGTTTATTCAAGTCATTTGTTTCAAATCTTACTAATTAAAGGGCCTTAAATATTTGAACATTTTACCTGTCAGATTTTAACGTGTTTAGAATTGAAACCAGTGACAAAACTATTACAAAAATCTCTTCAAGGTAAATTTAAATTATACAGGTGTAACTCACAGGTACATCGTAGGAATGAATGAATTTTATCTTTGTCTTGTAAAAGCAGACGACATTACATTCTTCAGATGTCGTTGTCCGCCATTACTAAGTAAAAATATGTGTTTTTTTAACAGTATAATTGGCATTGGTGATACATTTTGTGCTTAGATTTTGTTCATGCGAACTGTATACAATGTTTATTATTAACACGTGTGTGATACACCACAGTTTTGGATTTATTTGGATTTTTAATGTCGTTTAATTTTCATAACAGGTATATAATTTTACTCTATTAGTTTCATTTGTTGTTGAATGTTCATAGATTTTGTATACAATCTGTAATTTTGATCAATCATGTCTATCTGCATTAGAACACACTCTTAATCTGAAGCATTTATTTGCATTTTCCTTTTTTTTTTCAATTTGTGTTTTGTCATACTTTGTGAGTAAAAATATACTTGAAAACTGACCGGAAGTACTTTAATATTCCCTCGGACTATAAACGGATTATTATTGACCGTGGAAATCATTGAAATGTTCATGGGCGTTGTTGAAAACAGTCCAGACAATTGCTTGAAAGTTTGCACATATACATGTATAATGGGCTTATGACTTCGTATGATTACGATTTGTAAATCCTTGAGCTTGCTGCAAAGAAAATGTCTTAATACAGCAGCATTTCTAAAAAAAAAATATGATCATGTTGAATAATGTCATAACTAGTAGGGTAGTATCATTCCAATTTTCTTTAGAATTGCTGAAATTAGTTATTTTGTTTACGAAATTTAAACGGGCGGAGGCTGCAAAACCTCTAAGTATTTATCTGTGTTACATGCTTCTGTTCTTAATTGTTACACTAATTGGTCAATATAATGTTCTCAGAGTATGCTTTTCCCAATCTTGTAGCATCCATTTTAATTTAAAAAAACATGAATTTTATTTCAAAATAATTTTGCATATTGCATTTTCAAATAGTAGTTCTACAGCATGTACATATACACGGGGATCTTGATGGGGGATTTACAGAATAGAGAATAATGGACCCTAAAGTACAGAATAGAGAAAATGGATCAAAAATAAAGATTTGAGAACAATGGGGTGCTTAAATATAAAGAGTAGAGAACAATGTGCCAAAAAAAAAATAATACTATAGATAAAATAATTCAGAAATTAAGACCATACCCCCTTGTCAGACCCTCATATACTTAACTATCAATCAATGTCCATTACATTTTATTATTATCATTACATTCTTAATACAATAAAATTCTTTCCTTTTATCAATATTCTATAAAATATGCATACATTTTACTACCTTTCCTATGTTGTCAGCGAAAATAAATTCAGCTTCAAGATATAAAATGTCCATTTCATCGAGAAATCGATTTTCTGGGGACAAATTTAGATTTATAAGTATTAATAAATTGTCCCGTGATATCTTGTACATGTCTTCTACGTAACCGGTGTCGATTTGCAATTAAATTACTTTTCCCTTACATCACTTCTGCATCGCTTTCGAGTATGAAAAGATAAAATGAAATTGATGAGATACACAATAGATGCACCCTACGGCTTATACGCTGTAAATTTCCCTATCATGTGAGGTTAATTCGTTTTAAAACACAACCCAGACGCTTTATGGTTGTCATTTAACTCATTTATTTTAACTTAAAACTAATTTTCTGTAAAACAACCTGATATCATCATTTAAAGAATAAACAATATAAAGACAAGAAAAAACCCTACCTGATTACATGTTGTACCTGTTGTGTCTACATATTTCAAAGGCATTTTGTACATTTAACAGTTTTTAAAGCTTTTAAGAACGTTGTTTTTTAAATTTTTATTTTTCTTCCTATATCAATGTATGTTTTCATTTCTAAATATTTGTAATGTGAAATTTTACCATTATTTTCGTCTTGTGGGATGCTTTAGGGGATATTTATCCCAGTTATTAAGGATTTAAAGTAACATGTTGCTACTCAACCTCTTTCCTAGAAAAGAAAGGATATTGGGTATCCATCAATGACACACAAAAAGTTTAGCCTATTTTAATCCTGGCTTTTACTTAAAGAATACATTCGTTGATGCAAAAATGAGTTCTTGTGGTGCTTTTTGTACGCTAGCCAAAAACTTGTTACTCTGCACTGAAAATTTTCTTTGTTCTTCAACTTTTTTGCACCTTGTTTCACATGTTCAAACGTGCATAATAATCTAATCAAGTAAACGAAAGGTCTGTTTTTTTTTAAATATTTATCCGCCACATTTGCGCTGTTCTTCGGGTGTTGTACCAATTAATTCTATTAAGTGAATTGTTCCCCTTTGTGTCTTGACTTATTTCTTGTACCGTTCGTCATCGCTGATTTCTCTAGTTAGTTTTCATGTGCAAGCATTCTAAACTGTGTTTCTTTCGAATTCGAAAGTATATTGGGACCACGGGGTTGACATCTGATGCCCTCTTATACTTAAAATAAATTATGGTCTATAGATAATTAAAATAAAGATTTATCAAGTCTTTGGTAATTTTTTCCATTCAAGGTTTGCTCAAATGCATTTTATATAACTAAAAACTGAGTTGCACAACAATGTCAAGCTCATGAATTTAGCAATGTGAGGAATATTTTTAATAATCTACGGTAAACAAAAAAATGTGTTTTTTTTTCAAATCGGAGCAACAATACATAAAAACATATTTTTAAACATGACTTTGGTATGAAATCCATAAAATTGCAATAATCAACTTATACTTTGTTATTAACTTTCTTTATTCCCAAGGTATTCAAAAATTATCATTACATTGCTTAAAACATAATATCAACAACGTTGTAAAAATCAATTTTAAAATTAAATGAATTGCACATCAATAAAACTTGCAGTATTGGAATTCACGATCGGAATGTGTTCCGAGGTGTGAAGTCTTATTGTACACAACCTGTCTGTGCATAATGTTGTGCACATCAATTTGAAATTAAATGTATTGCACTTCACTCAAACTTGCAGTATCGGAATGTCTTCTGAGGTGTGAAATCTTATTGTGCTCATTCTTCTTTGTGTGCATGTAATAAAATGTGAATTGCACAAAGCCAGTTCGTTTTCCTATTGATTTTATCAGTGAACCATGTGTGTGATACACAAGATGGTGGTTTGTTGTGATTCATTATTCAAATGTCAGGTTAGAAAAAAAAACTTTATTTAATTTTTGTGTGTATTGATTGAGTCTTATGTTTTAATTTGCAATTTGTCATTTTTTGCATAGATTCAAATATTGATTTGATATTTCAATTGTTTTCGCTTGAATTGATGCTTAGTAAACAATATGAATGAATGAATAATTTGAAGTTGGTCAACCATCCTCTGATTTTTGGTTTCTTATACGACTTTGATGAATTCCTTACTCCTAGACTGTTTAACGTCCAGTCAAATATATTACAGACATGTTTAGTATCAAATGTCAGCATAATATTTGATTTTTTTTTATCGGTCAGTGATACAAATTGACAAAAATATGATTTCTGTAGCATCTGTTCAGGTATCACGATATTAAAAACTTGAAATTGTTTATATTATAGAAGTTTTGGTAGAAATAAAAAGTAAAAAAAAAAAAAATAACTGACCATAACATTTCTTGATTTTGTTTAATCTTGTTTGGGGGTTAAAAAATTAATTACAGTGGAAGAAAAAACCTAATATAATACAAGATAGAAAGAACACTATTTCTTTGTGTTTATTATGGCTGTCAATCTTCTCAGTTTATCTGAACTAGACTAAGTCATCATTTTCATTAGTTAGGGTATTTTTTGGCATATCAAGGCATAACCTTGAACTTTTACTGGCCTTGTAACCAACTGAGATTGATATATAACAAACATATCAACAATGGATAGTTGGTTCCTGAAAGCAAATTGTGCAGTATAAGCTGTCATGAAGGAGTGAATTTATGAAATATGTGATTGGATATCAAAGCAAAACATCAAAACCACTTAAATATATGATTACTGCGGAATAACTTGTTTAATAGTTATACCTCTGACTGTTCAATGTATCTAACAAATAAGTAAACGAAAAAATAATGTACTATAGTTTATTAAATGATAAATTCTTTTTGGAATATTAAAATATAAACACAGTTTCCAGGAAAACATGTTCTGCAATTGGTATGACGAGCTCACAGCTTAAACATTTTATGTTGTTCTCTGTGCATACTAGTTAAGTTTGCTTGGTGTGTTTAAAGGTGAACCTTGAATCCTTTAAAGTTACTGCAAATATAGAAACAAACCGGTTAAACAGTCTCTTATTTGATACCCGTCCTATGATTTAGTTGGATAAAATAACTATCTCAAAAAGTAAAGTAAATATGAATTTATGGTCAATCTAGCAAACGAGCAACTTCATTGTTTTTATGTTGGTCACCTACCTTGCAACATACGGGAATTTGTGTCACTCTTGTTGTCAAGCCATACAGATAACGGACATGGAACCGGTCTGTAATAATTTAATTTAGAAAATATATTAATATGTTCTCTCTTTTCTTTCAGATTAACTACATTTAAACAACAACGATGTATTTTCTACATACAGCTGTACTCGTTCTTTTATTTTGTAATTTTAGTCAACAATCTAGCGTAGTTTCAACAAACCAACCATGTGTTGTAAAGGGACAATTTACCACTCATTTGCAATGGTATGGTTACTTACTTCAAAAAACTTTACATAAGGAAGCTAAAATAGAATACCAAATTACGTATCCCGAACGAGAATGCTGCGTGAATATGATGATTTACTATGACGACCAAATAAAAGAATTAAAAGAAACAATGAATTGTCAGCAGAGAAATGCTATTCTCCCGGAGCAAAACAATCAGGTTATATCATTATCAACACAAAATCAAACTAAAGGATGTGAAAGATACCGTCCGTCGGCATCAGCCGAACCGCTCATCGTGTGTACTGGAGAGCGCACGCTTCGTTCGAGTGGACCAAGAACATGGTACATCGCAATTAGCCGCTGCAACAGTGATTCGTCTAAACCATTAGACATGAGCTTTTATTTTAATGTTTCGAACTATTTTGGTGTATGCGAAGTTGACCCATTGTCAAATACGTATATTCCTGTTCGTGTGGAATCGGGAACAGATGTGAATGTTATTGTTGCCCTTGGGGTTATTTGTGGAATTTCTACTATAATTGCCATCGTGTTTGCAGTTTTGTTCTTTTTTGGTCGTCGCAGAAGAAAAGGTAAAAAGAAGGCGGGTTCCGTAACGTCTAGCCAGGCCACCATGACGCAGGATATATTTTACGTAAATCCGTCATTGTCAGAACGTGACCAGTCCGATTCACAATACAGTCATAGCCAATCCAGTGGTTCGGAAAATTATTATGAAGTAATTCCCGACAGAAGAAGCTATGAAAGCATTAATACACAGCTTGCACTGCACGGTCAAAGCTTACGGGGAATACATATTTCGCATGGTAGGGACAATAGACCTAATATACCACCATATATATTGGAGGATTACCCACCTCCACCATACCAACCACAACCCCTTCAAAATGGAATTCACCATCGTCAGTCTAGTGCGGGTGCTGTGTTACAGCCAGGACAAAATCCCGCTAACGCAGGCGCAGGGAGTACTCCACTTTTAAACGGTCACATGATTGCAAATGGACGTCCTGTACATATGAGTCCAGGATTGCACTACAATAGTTCAAATATAGTGGGACATAATAGATCTGAACAAACGCTTCAAAAGCAAATTCCTATCGGAAACCAGTCACTGCGTCTTTATTCTCAACAAAGAGTTGAACAAAATCAGGGACAAATTAGACCGCAGTCAAGTCAGGGTAATCAGACACTTCCTGCCGGAAATGTTAATCAAAATGTGCGCGCTCAGCATCAAATGAGTGACAATAGTCAGCAGACTAATCCGTCATTTAGTCAAGCTAATGGTAGTGTAAGCAATCCAAACTTTGTTCGTCAACAAATTCCAAATGGCGGACCGAAAATCTCAAATGGGGTTCCGAATGGACAAAATATTCAACTCCAAACATACAGTCAAAATCAAAACCAACAGACTCAGTCTATTCCTACGTCGAATGGTCGACAAAACATTCCAAATGGAAATGTCGCTAAGTTACTTCATGATGCTTATCGAATTCAGCAGTTTGAAACAACAGCTTGATTTTTATAAAACCAATGCATCTAGTGCTAACAGCAGTATTTATAATCGAAATTGTTAACTATAATATATGTTAAATTTAGATAAGTTTTGTGTTCGTGTAATTTTAAAGATTAGGAAAATTTATTTCTACCCTCGCATTTCAAAATAAATTTTAAGAAAGTACAATTATATTATAACTTGTCAACTTACATAGAATTTATGTCATATATGAGCATGGATGCGAGATGAGATTTTAAGTTAAAATATCAGGAGTTGTAAAACAATTGTTTGAGAACTAATACGTATACATGTATGGATTCAGAATTAAGGTTCTTGAGAGCAAAAAGAAAGAAGATACATAAAAATGGCCAGTCTTTTGACCTACTTTCAAAGAAGTATTTCCTTATTTTACTAGTATATAGAATATATCTATATGAAGGCTACCTAAAACTTTAAAGGGATGCAATCTATTTGTATATTAATAGAATGTAAATGTAGGTCGAAACGTTTTTAAGCATTACATGAATTATTAGTCAATTTGAATATTTCACAGTTTTACTGTGTTCGTCATTATCAATTGAAAATAACACAAATGATACTATATTTCTGTTCATACCCGTATGCCTGCCCTCATTTTAATTGTGTTTCGTTAGTTGACCACGTGGTGTACATGGTGTAGTACTTTTTGTGCTCCTGCCCTTTTACTCGCGAGATATTCAGTTATTCGAATGGTTTGAATGAGAATGATTGTCTTGTGAGAATGATAATTTGTTTTCCTATTATGTTATATTGAGTAATGTGAGAATGACTGTCAGTTTTCATATTTTGTTGTGTGAGTAGAATGAGTAAGACAGTCAGTTTTCGTGTTTTGTTATATGAGTAAAATGAGAAAGACTGTCAGTTTTTCTATATTGTTATATTGAGTAAAATGAGAATGAATGTCAGTTTTCACATTTTGTTGTGTGAGTAGAATGAGTAAGACTGTCAGTTTTCATATTTTGTTGTGTCAGTAGAATAAGCAAGATAGTCTGTTTTCATATTTTGTTATGTGAGTATGTTATACGATATTCATTAAATTTGTCATACATCTGAAAGTTTGTTTTGAAATTTATTTTGACTCATGAAAGAGTCAGTATTTTGCATTTTGGAGTAAAACCACTAATTCATGCCCTTTTCTTTCTTTCCATCTTATGTTAAACACATATCTCAACGACGTTATGTTATGGAAACGACACCCTTGCTGAACTGGTCCTTATAAAAGCATACATCCACCATTGGATAAAAGAGCAAAACGGTTGCTAGTAGTTTAAATATGGGGTTTTTCGGCATGAATTTAAACTGTGCGCATACACGTTATGACAGCTAAGAAATTTGCAGTACTTGTCAAATTATTCACTAAAACTATATTTTTAAATAACGATAACGTTTGTTGTAGCTTTCGAGATATTTATACCGCTCGATATATTGTGCGCATATAAAGAGGAAAATGACTTAAGCTAAATGAGTATCTTTCAAAAGTTCCACCATACTGCAATATAGAAGATTTTATAAAGCATCGATTCTATTTGCCGAAAGTCACGGGATTAGTAACGAATACAGCATAGCAATAGAGAGTTCAAGCGACCCTTTGCGCGAAAAACAACAAATTAAAACGTATGAAAGCACACGAATCAGGTTTTGAATGGGCTTTGAAGACCAGATTATTTCAATGTGGGGTTAATGTTCTCTTTTATCATGGTACAATACAAGACGGCTGAAGGCGGAGTTGGTCATCTGACTTTGTGACAATTGTGACACTTTGACCATATATAAGTGGTCAAAGTCACACGTTTTCCGTACAATTATTGACACAAAAATCATTAACTATAATAATACAGTACAAAATACAAAATGTCACATATTTCCTAAGGGTCAAAAATGGACAAAAATGAATTACTTCAGCTGAATTGAATAAATCCGAAATAGCCGATTTACATCAAAATGAAAAATTAACACCCGGAGGCAACTTCGGTATCTGATGTTCCGTGATAAAAATTGACACGATTTTGTCTCGGATAATAATTAAAGTACACATATCCCATCGCGATAATGATCTCCATTAGAGTATAATAACAGACCACGATTGACACTCGATACTTTTCTTTAGTTATCTGTAAACAAAGAGAGGACTCAAACAGAAATTTAACACTTAAAAGACCAAATTAGATCAAATGGCGTTCTGGCAACAGTTGTTATAATCAGGTCTGCAGGAGCCTCTTTATTTGCTAATCTAGTCAGTGTGGATTCTATAAAACAGACCTGTATTTATTTAAATTAAATATAATCATTCTTTTTTGCAATTTGAGATTTTACTTAAAATCAAAGTAGAGGGAAAGGTAGGATATTTGTCACTTAAGTAAAGTTTGTTAAATCTCTGAAAGAGACAATTTAATATAATCACTAGTTACTTGTTTCTGAATCAGTATTGTCACTATATGACAACTGATACTGTTTTCATTTAATAATTAAGTATTGTTTACACTAAATTCCTGAATTGATTAAATGGTTATATTTTACTGATCAATAATAAATGATACAAAAAAGGATAACAGGAATTTTCAAAAGTATTGGTCAGTACAACAGCAACCACTAGCAATGGACTATTTAGAAAAAAAATAGACGTACGAAAATTAAAAGCAAACAAGAATGTATCGAGCAACACATGGTTCAGATAGACGGGCTTGGTACATGCACAAATGTTTGCTAAATATTTGAAATAATGCCTTATAATAAATTGTCTCCAGTGACAAATGATATTTCTTGCACACTCAGCACGAGAACAAAACAGTCAATAAGCTGTAAATACTTCAAAGATGCCCGGATGAAAGGGAAACCGTGATTTGGAGCTCATCTGATAAGAAGTTTTGTCTTGTGCCTCAGTAATATATTTATTTATATTAAGTTGCATCAGTTCGAGATCATGTTATGTGTATAAGTGTGTGTCATTATTCAGACAGGCACAAAGGGTCATTTGCGAAAACCGATCCTCATGCTTCGAGATGTTGAAAGTTAACGGAACAAAAGGACATAAGACTATGCTTAGGATAAAGAATGCACGTATTTTTACATATACATGTACAACAGGCGATGAGGTGCCTTTTTTCTATGCAAAAAGACCAATAATTATCAATTTCCACCAACTGCACCAATTATATTGCCTAAACATTTGTAGTCCATATCTCCCAATACAAAGTATAAGGAACACAATGGGTACTACGAGTGAAGCACATGGCTTAAATCTATGTTTTAGTGTGGTTTGTATGGCTCATACTTTGATTTTCTTCATAACATTTTGCGAACTTTATACCTTTTATTTGTCCTTTTGGATAAGCATGCCGTAGTCTGTCGTTCGACTTATTGTAAGACTCTCGTTTTTCATGATTCTACTGATATTGTATGTAAGGTTAATGATGGGTTAATAACAACAGAGTATACTGGACAAAGCAATGAAGAAAATCGAATAATGGGGACATAGAATATAGAAAAAAGAAAATGTAAAGCAAACAAAATTAAGAATAGATAAAAAGCCTTAATTAAACAAATAACTCAAAAAGATCCCCATCTAGACCCTCTTATAACCTGTACATACACTTCTTCATTTCGTAATTCGATACTATAATTATACTTTTGAACTTTCCGATTATGAATTATATTACATTTACTTACAGTCATCATGCTACATCAGTATTTTAGTTTGTGGAATATAATCTCTTGACAAATCGATATCTGAAGTAACAATCGTATGTCCCTAAAGCTAGTGTCTTGGTTTTTAATTTAGATGTAGCTTTAATCTGTCTGTAATACGTGATGCTTCAGTGCTTTACTAGTTCATTGCTGTCTTTTGGAGTACAAGGCCACCCAATCGGAACATATTTGTTATCATTTTGACCTTTCGGAATCTTCCGTCAAGCACTAAACAATATAAAATTCACTTTTTGGACCAGAAAAAAAGGAAAGAAAATATTTGAAGAAAGACAGACACGATCATGGTAAAAAGATAAATGACACCTCTGGGCAAAGCACTTTAAAGAAACTAAAGATTGAGCAACATGAACCCGAGATTGAACTCTGGTGCTCTGGCAGGATTAACAGTTCCTGCATCACGAATGACACCCGTCGTATTGCTCATTTCAAGTAAAAATCCGTATGAAATGAGAAAAGAAGTGTGGCTAAGTGACAGGTGGAACATATCCAAAGTAGAGGACAAATATAACTCCATATAAAAAAAACGCTCAATATACATCACATAAATCAACGATTTTACAACATCTGAATAGAATTTAATTTACATGTAATAAATACGGTCGTGATGAGTGGTAAAGAATTAAGGAACATCTACCCCAAAAATACAATACTCCTTGTTACGCTAAGTGTCACATGTGAATCAGGATTTGCTTACCCTTCCGGAGCACATGAGATCACAACCGGTTTTTGGTGGGGTTTGTGTAGCTCGGTCTTTAGTTTTGTATGTTATGTTTGGATATTAGCTGTTTTTTGTCTTTATGTCGTTTTACGTTTTTTGCCACGCCGTTGTCCGTTTGCAATCAACTTATGAGTATACCTTTTAGTATCTTCTGCTCCTCTCTTAGTAACTAAAGTTATAGATAAAATTTCATAATATAAATGTGATTCAACTCACATTCTTAAGAGAAGACAGATAACACATTGATAATTTTAATGTCGCTGTATACAACTTCAGGAAAGCTCTGAAATGTCATTATAAATAAATTGTATATGTGAAACCACCGAAAGATAAAGTCTAAGTCAAATGCAGTAACAACAAAAAAACAGAGATATTCACTGGATTGCATGATTGATTGATTGCTACTTTCTTAACGCCAAGTGGCAAATATATCTCGCACATATCAACGAGGACAACACAACAACAATTACTATACAATATGTAGGTTCTTCAAAGTGGGCCGTCTGGTTTAAAGGGCGGGACATTTGGACTCACGTCTGCCACTCCAATTTGAGGATATGTTGGAAAGGTATAGAAATTTTGCTTTGCAACAGGACTCTCAAAGTGTATACACAGGGCATCAGCTTTAATGTCCATATTCCGACCGGATGTGGATGCGTATTTATACATCCAAATACACAGCCAAGCAGAGGAATCGTACCATAGCCTCAGCCAGAGAAACTGGAACCAAATTATATACGCTGTAGTATACCCTCGAGGTTCACATGATTAAAATTTCCTAACAACATACCAGAACAGGAAACAGTATGTTTATAGCAAGTTCCATCTTGTTCTACATATCACACTCTCAAAATCGCCAAAGTAAAGGATAACTGATCCAGACTTCTACGTCCTTTCGTACATCGGGTTAAAGGTCAAGCCATTCAGTTCAGTTGTTTTATATAAATCAAGTCAACATGCAGAACTCCATCTAGGAAATAACGTGCTACCTCGATATCATGGTTAAAATGAAGGAAAAGAATAAAAAATGACAATAAAGAAACATTCTTCTTCGTAAGTCAGAACAACCAATATTTTATACAAAAGGCAATAGATGACAAAGATTGAGATGGCAAAAAATGAATGACATGTGAAATCCAATCAAGTTAACTAATCAAGCAGGAAAAAAACTATATACTATATCAGACAAATGCTGTTCTAGTTGAGAAATCAAATATTCTGGTGTACGGTCAGTTGTTTTATTGAAATATATTGGCAGCAAAATAATGAACTGATCAGAGAAACAGATTAATGTTTGGTCTGATTAGATTTTGTGACTAATTAGAGCTGACTGGCCATTATGGAACTGTCTCTGTAAGATGGATGACAATTCTCCTTCGTAAATCTAATAACACGTTCAATAACTAGTCTGGTAATCCTTGGTTGCTTCCTCAATATCGTAAAAATTACTAAATCGAAACTAAATCCCATATACATTCGGTGATTGTGAGCCATAAGACTGATTCCCAGCAGTTTTTAGTCAATTCCAATCGGTGAATCTTAATTGTGAGCCATAAGACTGATTCCCATCAGTTTTGAGTCATATCCAATAAGTAAAGGCATATATTTAAATGTATTGGCTTCTCGGAAGAA